CATAGATGAATTCAACATCATGATATTTTATGGAGAATAGGTATATTTATATAAGCTTGAAGGTAATTCTCTAGATTAAATTGATTATGGAACTACTATTAAATATGAAACTAGAGAACTGTCAAAAGAAGTTTCTATCAGTTTTATAATAAATTACCTTATTCTACTGATTGTTACTTACTCAAAAATTACTATATTTTTAATACTGATAAAAAAGCAAGCTTTGTAGATAAACTATCCCTTGAATTAGTTAAATAACTTGATAATGAATATTACTCTATTAAATATTAGGACTTGTATGAATATATCTTAGATTAAGATTTCAATATCTATGCATATACTAATTAAGATGGTTTTGCTTTAAAGAAGTTGCAGTAAATTTATCAATCAAGAATTAAATGGATGTTTAAAATTGCAACTAACTAGAACAAATTTATGGTATTTTTAAACATTGGAGGTTTTTATAATCTTTTGGTTTTTGATTCTAAAACATTTTAATTGATTAATTAGCTTTAGAAAATAACAAATTAGTATGATGAGTTGATTGAAATAGACACAATTAATGATAGAATATATTATGTAGATTCTAACATTTTGGATTAGATAAATTATTTGAATTACAGCACAAACCTGATAGAATTTTCTAAAATTATCCCAATTTATAATCATAGTTAGTAACTAATCAACAAAGATATTAAATAGATGATAAAAAACTACTTAATATGCAATTCAGAGTAAGAATAAAAATTAGTAATCTTAGACTTCGTTACTGGTTTAAACAAAGAAATATCAGAAGAATTTTATTACAATTGTTTATCATACCTTGAATATAGGGATCAAATTCTTACCAATGAAAATTTTAACGAAATTGAAATTATAAAATTAGATTATAGCTCTATAGATTATGATGTTATCAGTGACATAACTTCACATGATATTCTAATGAGAAATGATAGTGAATACATTTATTTAAATGGCAATCGTAAGATAAAATGGATAGAATTTCGTTAAAAATTTGGAATAATATTTGAAAGGAGTGATACTTTTTGTCTAATGTATAATAACTGAAATGAAAAGCAATATATATTTGAATACGAAAATGAAAATAGAATTGTTTATTTTGATATATAAAACAATAAATTTGATTCAATTGATTTGATAGGATAATCATTCGTAACTGAACATCCTAAATCAGCAATTTTGGATGATAATCTAGGCTATTTACTAGTATAATATGATTGTGATATAAAAATATATAGTCTTAAAAATCGAATGATTATTCAAGAAATACCAGAATTTTTAGATCATAATTCAGTATTTATAAAAAATAACTATATTCAAATAAATTCTGAATAAGAGGGAACAATTATATTATTTTTTAAGAATTATGATGTTGACAAAGTTATTAAGTTTAAATAAACTCTACAATTTAACAATCTAAAAATAGAGCATTCTTATTAAAAAGAGATTAATTAAAAAGCCTTTATAGTGCTCATAGAAAAAGATAAAGGCAATGAATCTGAAATTTATACTATGACATTAAATTCATTCGAAGATATGTTCAATGAAGAATTCCTCATTTAACCTGTTTTTCCAGCTTTTAATTTTGAACTTGCATACAAAACAATCATAGATTCAAGTTAGACTTAAATATTTATAAAAGGTGAATAGATGATGGTTGGATATTTCGAAATAGATATTACAGATCAACATATAAAGGATTATAGAGAATTTCCAAACAAATCTAATGAAGAAATTATTAAAGAGCTTTAAACTAATGTCAGTAAGTATTTAAAGTTCGTTGCGGGATACGGAACTGGATTTGGAGTATTTAAGAATAATTTGGTAGCTCTTGAAACAATTGTTAAATAGTTATCAATGAAGGATAAATAAACTGTACCTATTCTTATTTGTAAAAATCTACTTGGCGGAGAATCTCCTTTTGATTTTTCAATCAATAAAAACCAGTAAAAGATAATTAATATCATTCTCTCGGTTATATAAAAATACTAAGATCATATTATGTTTAACGAGCTAGTTGATAAAAATCTATGCAAGATAATAAAACAATAAATAGACTTATAAGAATATTTCGAAAGTAATCTCCCTAGCTATGAGATTCTTGATCAATTATTCCCAAGTTAGCATCAGGATGAATAGGAATTAATTAAAGGCATAAATTTAGATCATCCTAAAGATGTACATTAAAAATATGATGAATTATTTGGTCAAGAATTAGAAGATTTGAAATAAACAGATGATTCTATCGTATCTATTGAATATCATTTGATCAACTTGCCAGTTACTCTGAAATAAAATCCGACAGAACTGATGAAAGTGTTAAGTGAAACAGAAAGAGCAGATTACTTTGAAAATAAAATCATCCAAAGTATAATCAAGTTTAAATGGAATGAATATACAAAGTCATTTTATTAGAATAGATTCTATGTTTACTTGATTTTTATGGCCTCCTTTATTTTCGATATCTTTTATTCTACATATGCTATCTAAACAAATAATGATATGAGTTTTTAAGATTAAAATAAAGATAATCCTGATACTGGAAATTTGCAATCAAATATTTGGATCAAGATTTCGACAAAAGTAATTTGTAGTATTGTTCTATTCTACTTCTTAACTTATGAGCTAAATTAAATCATAGTTTAGGGAAAAAATTACTTTTAAGATGGATGGAATTATTTTGATTTTTCTCATATTATTACCTTCACAGTATATTGCATTTTAGACTTCATGAATGAAAACTAAGATAACCTAATCTTGATTAAAATTCTTGTGATAATCTTGTCTTTTATGAAGTTATTCTTCTTTTTGAGAATTTATGATGGCTTCAGTTTTTTAGTTTAAATGTTAGCTGGAGTTTTCAAGGATCTCAAATATTTCTTGATATTTTTCCTAATTTTCATTTTGTAATTTGGAATGATATTTTTAGTCTTATTTAAGGCTTAGGAAATAGATGAATACAATGGAATCAACAAATTAGCTTATTTTTTGATGGCCTTTAGAATTTCATCTGGTGATTTCCAGCTCGATGATTATCATAGTTAAAGTGATGGATTAGTGATATTCACCTGGATGATCTGGTTGATAGCAGTGATGACTTTGCAAATTGTATTCATGAATTTCATAATTGCTGTGATTTCAGAATCTTACGAAAGAGTTATGTAGAAATTGGTAGCTGAATCATATAGAGTTAAAGCGCACATGATAGTTGAGAGAGAACAGCTTTTCAATAAAAATGATTTGTCAAATGAAAAATATTTCCCTAATTTCATTGTTCTCAGAAGACCATTGAACACAGAGATAAATGAGGGTGGGGAATGGTAAGGATTTATTAAAGATCTTAAATATACCATAAGAACTACAGTAGTTAAGTCTAGAACAGAAATTATTCAAAATATTCACTCGCTGCACACTCAGAATAATCAGAAACTAGATCTAGCTTAAGAGAATAGCAAAAATGATTTCAACTTACTTAGAGCAGATGTAATTGGACTTGAAGTTTAATCTAAAAGACTTGATGGTAAAGTGGATGGAGTTGATGCTAAAGTCGAGGCACTTGATACACATGTCAAGGAACTTAATGGAAAAGTTGATGGACTTGATTCTAAAGTTCTTAGAATTCAAGATGATATGGAATTCATAAAGAGTTCCTTGACTAAAATTCTTCAAAACTATAATCAGTGATTATGAAGTTAAAATTATGTCTTATGACTAAATTTCTATTAAAGTACATTAGTAACTTGCTTTTGTATAAGAAATTGAGAGACCATTAAATGATAAATGAGAAAAGATTATTTTTTAATTATTAGATTAATTTATATTTAAACTCAAGATAATTAATTAGAAATTAAAGTGAATTTTAGATGCGCGGGGTTTTGGGGTTTTGGGG